CGCCAATGCTATAAAGAGTGTGTATCTATAAGTCTGAGTGATGCATTTTTGGGAGCTCCGTAAATGAATCCTTGTGTGAAATTTTATTGGAGTGAGGATCTGTTCATCTCTATGGCGTGAGTGAGAGGTAAGAACGAGAGAGGTGAGTGAGTTGAGAGGAGGGTGATGGTCGTTCGTCTCTCCTCTGTGTGAGAAGTGAAGAAGAAGAAAAGAAAAGGGGACAATGGAGAAGAAGAGGAAATGGAGAAGAAGGGGGGCTGCGCCGTTTTTGTCCAATGGTTCTAAAAGGGAAAATATGATCTCTCTTTTTTAGGATAAAGATTTTAGTTGTTTTAATGAAAGGGGTTGTTGGGTCGGTTTGGGTCGGGAGCTGGGTGGAGGAGAGTGGATTGGGGCAAAAAATTGGGTCATTTTGGAATTGTTTCGGCCTAGTTCCGATTTTAAGGACAATTAATTAATTTGAACTTAAAATGTGAAAGAAACTAAAGTATTTTTGTCTTTTAATAAATGCAAACTAGTTAATAATGCAAGTAAAAATATAAGAAAGCAAAAAGTAAAAGTGAAAAAATATTTTTGATTATTTTGTGATGTGAAATGCTACTAAAACATGCTAAAAGTGCAAATGAATGCCAAACCAATAAAAATAAAAATTCCTAAAATTCTACAAAAGTCACTAGAACTATTTTTGAATATTTGGGAGTAATTTCCTATGTGGGGCAAAAATTAAGTGCTCACAAGTGTCAACACTACGCACCATTGGTACATCAACAAGCAGAACCGTTGCACTCAGTTTTGTCTCCAAAGCCATTCATGAAGTGGGGAATGGATATCATCGAACCACTGCCTCTGGCTCTATAAGGTAATATTCTTTTTAATTTTAACTGACTATTTTTCTAAGTAGGTTGAAGCATGTCCCTATTAGAAGATTGGCAAACACGAAGTTGTTGATTTCTTGCGAGAAAACATACTTTGCAGATTTGGAATACCAAAAGAGATAGCCTGCGACAATGGGCCACAATTTATATGCGCAAAGGTCACGATGTTCCTTGAAGACCTGAAAATCAAAAGGATCCCATCTTCATTTTTTGATTCTTCATTCACCTGAAAGTATCTCAGGGTAGGTTCCCCTATTTCTACCGGGATCAATGGAGGCAACCTCACGATTGGATGCAGCAAGAACAACATTATGGACATCAACCCACTTTTTCCTAGCCTCTTTAAATTGAACCCTCAATGGGGCGATCTCTTGGTTAAAAGTCTCTACTTCTTGATCGCGTTGCTGTAACTGAGCCTCCAACACAACTGCCTCAGCAACTTTAGCTTCCACTTCTGAGAGGCAAACATCAGTTTGGTCCCGCTCGGCCAAAAGTTGATCCCGCTTAGAGGTAAGTTCCTCTTTATGACTAATCAATATTTAGAGGCACTCGGAAGAAAGAAATTGGCATGTGAAACAGAAAATGAAAACTCAGAATAATGTTGTATCAACGATAGAAGAAAAACAAAGGAACCAAAGGACAGACCACTGCGACATTAAGCATGGCATTGGTCAACAAGCACTCTCTTGAGAGAGCTTGTATCTTTTCCCTATTTTTTTCTGAAGCCTAAGGCTTCAGATAGTTAGCAAGTTCCACCGGTCGAGACAGTAGATTGCATCAGGTAGAGACTGAGAAAGTAACGTTCTTCCTCCTTTACGGGTCTTCTGAGGGGGCAGCGTAATTTTGCACCAAATTCCCATGAACTGGGGACTGGGGAAAAGGAATATCTTCTTCTCGAATAGATGCGGCCAGTGGAGATAATGTAGCAGTTGCTGGTGGAAGAGTTGGTGAAGAAAGAGATAAAGCTGATGGCGTTGAAGGGTGAGAAGCAATTGCGACAAACACAGTGCTGGTTGTTGTTTGCACATCAACTGAAAATGGCAAGGACCTGGCACTTAGTAGCACAATGCCGGGTGAAATGACCAGGATCTAAAAACGGGATTTGGCATTTTCCACCATTTCAAACTCCCCCCAGAGCGCCGAGGCATCGTCCTCAGTTGGTTTAACTAACTCAATAGATTTATCATTCTGTTGAGCTGATGAAGGTCGTCGTCTTCTATGTAGAGAAACCCCATCATCATCGATTACCATGGTGTCTATACATGGCTCAGGCACGGGGGTCAACACCACAGCATCTGAAGACGATTTGGGCACGACACTCGTTGCTCTTTTATTCTTTTCCCCGGCCATGGAGGAACGTCTCTTTTTTGCTTGCTTGCTCTCTGGGCGGGGACTTCGAAAAGAAATACTTGCGTTTGAAAGAGGCTCGAAGACGCCTATTTGAGTAAACGCCTCCTGAGGCAGCCTCGATGCATCGTCAGGATCAACCAAAACATCATCCTCGGAACGACAATCGAACCCTGGGGTAGACCTGAATTTAGCAAAGAGAGAAAGGATTAATCAATTTCCTCACACGAAAAGCAAAGACAAGATGAGTCCAAGTTACCATAATATTTGGCTTTCTACCCCTATTTGAGGGCCAAACATTTCCACGTGTGGATCTCGGGCGTAGTGACGTCCAAGATTTTCTGGACTCACTGGTCCAAGCCTTCAACCCTAGATGGTATCCATCGAGTTATTGAAACAAGCGAAAGAGTGAGGGTCAATAATGATACGAGATGATCTCTAATAAAAGAAAGATTAAATAAGGAACTTACGAGTATGGTTCCATAATTCCGGAAAGGATGAAGCTATTGCCGGAATGATATCATTGGTGGCAATTGCAACGAACTGTTCCATCCACCCACAATCATTGTCATCATGCATGCTACATAGTAGATCATTGTGGCCACGTTTGCTGAAATTTACCATTTCCCCACAGAAGATCTTAGGGGAATAGAGGTTAATCACGTGAGCTCGAGATAGACCCTCTCCCATTTCTTGGCACATGCGCCGAAGATAAACAATCGTCCTCCACACGGAAGGACTTACTTGTCCCAAATACACCTGGTAGAGGAGGCAGAACTCCACAATGACGGAGTCAAGCTCTCCACTTAGAGAAAATGCCCCTAAAGTGAAGGGATACGTATAGAAATACCTAAGACCCTTCTTGGGTATGGTTATCCGCTCTGCTAGATCAGGAGAGATGATGTCTAAATCTTGGCAACGACAATCTTCCTACACAGCAGGAATACTGTAAGGACGGATGGAAGAAGGGTATCTACCAACGGCACATGTATGAGGGTTAGCAGAAGGAAATTTCTCTTCGAAGTCTTTAGTTGTGATGAGACTTCTAGGGATGATGGTACTCATTGTAGGAGGAGCGGCCTCATCGACTTTGCCTTTGTCCTTTGAGGAACTAAGGTTTTTATAAGAAGAAGCCATTCTATGTTAAAAAAGAAGAAAAAGCTTTTCTCTTATGAAAATGGTGGAGACAAAGTACGAGTTGAATGAAGAGAGTTTAAGAGAATTTAAAGAATTATGAGGTATGAATGAAGGAGTTTGATGCGTATAAGTGAAGAAATATGCGGCTAAAATAGTGGCCGTAATTACCTCGATAACCTGCAAAACTGATGCTAAATCATGGGATGACGCGTGTTCGGGGCATTAAATGCAAAGAGACGTACGTCTAATCGACCATCAGAAAACTTTTCAGAGAGGGTCAGTGAATTTCCCGCCAAAAGATTTATTTTCTACCAACTTCCTAGTGACATTATGTTACGCGACCGGAAAGCAGGAGGACTATCTGTATAGAGTAAAATATGTTTACATTAAATGATCGAATAAGGAATTGACGCGTGGAGTCAAAGACAGAAGATAGTTGAATCCGAAGGCAATGATCCCATCTGTTACCGGAGTACATAAATGAAATAAATGGCTGCCACCTGGTAGCATTAAATGAGCAATATTCTACAACATTAAGTACACGGTCTGTTACAAGGAATATAACATTTATTGCGTGTCGTTATACATTCTTCAATGGCCCTCATAATTGACATTAAAGAGGGGCTTGATCCTAGGACCTTGTTCCCTAGGTACAACTATAAATAATGAGCTTTATTATCATTGTAAAAGACACAAATTTTTTGGCAAACATATGCTATATTCTATTCAAAGCTTAATACAATTTTATCTTTTTGTCCTTTGATATTATTGATGCTGTGCCCGGAAGCCTTGCTCCTGAAATTATTATTTATGTTATTTTATCTCTATCTCAAGGTTAAGTATTACATTTTTATCTAATTCATCTATTATTTCAGGATAAAATTAATTCACTTGTCTATAAACCACGTATAAATTCAATTGTACCATTTCACGGGTAAACACTCAACTCATATATATTTCATAAATGAATAAATATTCAAAAAATAAAATAAAATAACAAGAAGTATTTTAAAAAATTACGGTCAAAGAGTAAAATTTCAACCTGGCTCCAAATATTAATATAGTGATGCAAGGATTAAGGTGGGACAAATACATTAAGTAATAGGAGTACTATTTTATACCATTCAATCAACCTCTTTTTTTTCGAATTCGTTTTTACCCTTTATACTTCGGCATAGTTGATTGTTCGAGAAAATTATGTTTTACATTTTGTACTGTATATTTGTAACTTAATTTTAGTATTTGTAGCTTGCAGGATGTTAATTTTATTTACTTACGTTATGTTAAGCGTTATAAATCCAAAAAACGAATAATACACACACTTATTCTGTTAGTAATATATATCTATACATTATACTAATAATTAGTTGCTTTTTACTAATAACCCAAGTAATTACTACGGAGTAATTCTATTGATATTTCTAATAATTTTAAAGTAATGTAGTACAGTAATTCTTAATATTTTGACATTTCAATAGTAGGTACTACAATTAATTAACCTGATACACGTGATGAAGATAGACCCATACTTACCATTTTTCCGGCCGCATGCCAAACACTAGTGAACTAGATTCAAAAATCATTTGAAATTACAGTTTTAACCTTATCTAGTTTTGTCCAACACAACAAAAAGTCTGCATCTAAACATTACCACACATGCCAAGGCTACAGTACTGAAGCAAAAAGCTAATGTCACTTACAGTAGAACACTTATAACCATGAAACCAAAATAATCTACCATACCCTAAATAAAGAACATTACTTCTACTTTTAAAAAAATAACATTCTACGATAATCACAACACATCTCGATAAAAACACTAGTAAACTGCAGTTGCATTTAATTTCACATAAGAGATTTAAGTGATCTAGCTTTTATAGGCTTACGGGCTCTTTTGATCTTACCATTTTCTTCATCTTCATCATCCTCGTCTTCAACATAGTCAAATCCTTCTGTATCCATTTGGGAAGAAGAAGAAGATTGTGCCCCGTGACCGTCACTAGTTGCAGGATCAGTCCTCGCATGACTTCTTTTCTTGCCCCACAAAGGACCAAAACCCGAATAATAGTAGAATTCGGAGGAAGATGATTTCATAGGACGATGGGGGCGGCCGCGAGAACTGGGAGTCTCCGCCGCCGCAATCTGCTTAGCAGTAGTAGAAGTAGAATGAGCCGAGTCGTTGTATTGCTTCTTCACCTGAGCAATATGATGCTCGCATAAATTATGCCCTTTTTTTGTCTCTCTACTGCAGTGCCATCCCTTCCCATCATTTTTGCAACACAATGTCGTTATATTATTATCTCCATCTTTCTCCAACCCTAGCTCCTCCATCTCCTGGTCGTGTTGCTCTTCCTCAAATTCGTTCTCAAACTTAATGAAATCATCAGCAGCAATATTATTGTTAAAGTAATAATCCCTTTTAGAACAATCCATCTCTTTCTTCGTTTCCCTTTCGTCGTCGTCCAGCTTCATCGACGTGATGCTGCGGAAAACACAATGGTTGCTCAACATTAATTACAAGCAATTGCATTTGAGGCAACATTCCACTTAATCGAACTACGATTTATACCCAACAGTTATACGGCCAAAATTTCAAATCCTAATTATCGTTTCTGAAATATAAAAAGAAATAAATGATTCTGCAGAAAGAAGAAGTAATCAAATTGATGTAATAGTCGAAAAGTTACCTCTGCTCTGAATCATAAGAGGTCCCATTTACAGCGTAGCTATCATATCCATCCAGCTGCAGCAAGGAAATAATATTTTATCGAAAGTTCTTAAAAGAATACAAGCTGTGCAGTGGATAATAGAGCAAACAGTGAAAACCCATGAACTAAATTGAACGAACAAGGCCAAATACACGACAAAATGATGGGATTGAGATTCATTCAGGAACCCTAATGGGCGCTCCCCGTAAAACCCTAAACCACAAAGCAGATACAAAGAGAGCTAAAACAAATGAAAGGACATTGAAGGAACGAAATGGGCCTGGTATTCTATAGATCTGGAAAAAGGAGAAGAAAAATAAGGAGAAAAAGAGAATTTTTAGACAGACCTGATAAGAAGAAGACGGCGGTGGTGGGCGAAGTAGAAACTGGTTTATTTCTGGGTTATCGTTTTCTTCATCTTGTTCTAAGGGGAATGTGATGACATCCCAAGGAGACTGATTCAGCTGGCAAACGTGAACAGGAACTTGTTGTTTGAGAAATGAAGAAGAAGAAGAATAGAGGAGCGGGGAAATTTTGGCATGCTTTCTTATTCTCATGCCTGAAAACTCTCTCTGTAAATTACACACACAAAAGTATTTTTCGTCTGTTGGGTGTGTGGGGGATGTAAAGTTTTGAGGGGTAGGCACGATGGGAGTAGATCTAAATGGGTCTTTCTTTTTCACTCTATTTATATACACTCGGGCCCAATCACTATCTAGTTAATACAATATGTTTTTTTTTTCCTTCCTTCTATTTTTCACATTAATGGGTGAGAGGAGCCGTGGAGCAATGTTAAAGTTGTCTTTGTATGATCTATATGTCACGAGTTCGAGTCGTGGAAACAGCCATTGATGTTTTGCATTAGGATAGGCTTTCTATATCACACCATTAGGATACGCCCTTCCCTGTACCCTACATGAACGCGTGATGCCTTTTGCACCGGACTGCCATTTTTATTTTTCGCATTGCTCTTGGCCTTCTTTTTCACAAGGTAAACAATATAAAAATACAAAATATTTTTGTTTTATTATATATTATATTTCGAGATTATTCACATTTTTATCATTAGCAAATAGTCTCGTATTAAATAATAACTTTGACGCAGTTGCAACATGAGGTATAACGAAAGGTAATTTTATATAATAAATAAAAATTACATGAGTAATTTTAAATATTTTTACTTAAGTGTATTGATGCGTAGAATCCACCGGAGATTCACTAAACTCAAGGGTAAATACGAGATGATTTGCGTAATAAAGTCACCTAAGAATAACAAAAAATTAAAACTGAAATATTTTGTATAGTAAATGGTAAATTTGAATACTTTCCTTTTTGCAATAGTTGCAGTGCTTTTCATTTAGTTATCAAAAATTCTAACTGAAAAATATAGAGAACTGTCAGTAATTTTTATTTTATTTTAAATATTGGCTAGACTAGAAAAGTGGTCAATGAGGGTAAATATAACCAATAAATGTAGTTGTTTTTTTGTTGTTGAGTTTAAGGGGCCTTATGAAGTTCATGTAGTTTTACTTTTATTTATTTAATTAATTATTTATTTATTTTATGCTCACATATTTGGTAGGGAACGGATAGGTATGGGACAGAAAAGGGAAGTGATTGACATTTAACGTAAATTAAACTGAAGCTGGTATCGCTGGTAACTTTGTTGGATTAATGATTTGTTTTCTTAAATTCTATAAAAGTACTTGATATGTTCTAATCATTTGGAAATTTAATCAATTCTAGAATTAGTTAAAATTGGATCTTTTGGAACAGTATGCAATAAATAAACTTCGATGTAACGAACTTGATACAAATTTCCGATTAAATTAAATTATATATAATAAATCCAAATCTCATATATTTCAGGCGTTGTTAATTAGTTGTCGTTTGCGGGAAGTGTACAACTTGCAAAACATTAAGCACTTGAAAAAAGAAACAAGTGACTATCTTTGAGAATTTTCTTTTTCCAACCCTCCTTTGGCAGTACATTTCAACTTCACTAATCAGTGAATTATATTAGAGAAAATAACGGCAAATAAATCGAAGGAAGATAATGATACTGTGTACTTGTATAAGTAGCGAAATGCATTTACAAATTAAGTTAATTGTTCTTAAAATCAAAACATACCGTAGTCGTTAAAAAGGACACCAAAATTGGTGAAATTCAAAAATAGCCAGATTTACAATTGGTCGTTTAAAAATAATCCAGTTTCAAAAGTAATCGAAATTTAGTCATTTTTCATGTAAAGATAAATCTGAGCGAAAATACTGTTCAAAACCTCAAAAATACGCCAGTATATTATGCTGGGGTTCCAGCATAAGTATACTTGAACTCCAGCATATTATACTAGAGTTCCAGGATAAGTATGCTGGAACTCCAGCATAATATGATGGAGTTTTAACATGAGTACACTAGAACTCCAGCATAATATACTGGAGTTCCAGCAAGTATACTGGTCCAGCATAATATACTGGAGTTTGGAGCTCCGGTGCTCCAGTCTCCAGTATATTATACTGGAGCTAGCAAAGTATACCGGTCCAGCATAATATGCTGGAGTTCATACACAGGTGCACCAAACTCTGGTATATTATGCTGGACCGGTCTCTGTTGCAGCAAAATAGTGGTTACTTTTCATTGACTTGGTAAGCGCTGGCTATTTTTGAATGACCAGTCCAAAAACTCGCTATATCGTACTATTTTTACCACCAAAATGGTCGTTAATCAGATGCGTATCTAGGCTTTAGATTCTACGGGTTCAACTTTTAAGGTTTTTACCATTCAAGCCCTTTTGTTTACCTCGAAAATACGAGTAACAATTAAATTTGATTAGTGGTTTTAAAGATATGTGATTTAGTTCAATACCAATTAATAATCAAGAAATATGAAGTAGAAATAAAAGATAGAAGTGAATCAAACCAATGTTACTTAGCAGTAGTGACCTCGAGGTAGCTTAGGGCAGTAAGAACAATTAAGTAATAAAAATTAAGCAAGAACAATGGAGCTAAAGGACAATGCTGATGAACAGTAGGCAAAAAGGCAATCGTACAATCATATTTCGGGATTTGCGCCATGACTTTGGGGGCGTAGCAGGAATATAACTTATTCTAGTACAAATCCATAATGGTACTATTTCGAGGTCGAGCATACCCAAACTCGGTATGCATCATGCTTCGCCTTCGAAATCGGGTCTGGTCCCTCGAGCTCGAACTTGGTCTTACCCGGACTTGGACTTCGGACGACCTCTCAAGTATCTAGATCAAAGGCACTCGATCTCGACCGTATACATATAGTCCCTATGTTTCTTAGAGTAAAATGATAAGAAACGATTTGAACCCCAATTTTCTCGAACCTCTTATGATGAAGTAGTTTCCGTGATGCAAGCGTTTGTAATGACTGAAACGTCTCGTCGGTCCATTTCCCCAATACATTGAATGCACTCCAGTATTGGTCAGCCACTAATGCCGCCGAACCGTTATTGCCCATCTATAAATATAGGGCGATTCCTCTATGTAAAGAATTTTACTCTTTCTTTACATCTTTACCATCCTCATCTCTTTCTCTAATTACCCGTTTCCACCGCCTCTTCAAGCGCCGGAAAACACCAAGCTCTTGTAAGAAACACCACATCTTTGCGCAACCCGTATTCTTTAGCTTACAACCATGGCTAAAAATTCCAAAACGATCCCTAAAAAGATAAGGCATCATCTTCTTCTACCTCCCGGCCGGTCAAACCGGTGGTGCCACAAACACTTGAGGAAATCACCCCCGGTCCTTGTATTATTAAGAAGGACTTTAGTATTGAGAATCCTCCCGACGTCCCAGGCCGATGCGAGCACGCATCTTGATATATTAGCTTGATAACAAAGAGGTTTATCAAGGATGTAAAGAAGGACTATGGCTGGGGAGATAAGGTCGAGGTTCAAGTCCCGAGCCCCAATAAAAGCATTACTACCCACGTGGAGGGGTTTTTAAGTGTTTACACTTAACCCTTCACACTGGTCCCCTCGATCCGGTGGTGATCGACTTCTGTAAAATATACGAAGTCACCCTCGGTTAGATTCACCCCTCTTTTTGGCGTATCGTGATCATGTTGCGGTATTTTTTTGAGAAGGCCAAGGGGTTGAAATTCACCCTCAGCCACCTGATTCAATTGTATCGGCCCCAGTTATTTTGAGGGCTTATCAAGCTGCAACGTCGAACAAACTAAAGCCTTCTTTGCTAGTACTGATGAAACCAAAGATCTGGGTTAGATGAGCCTGTTTGTTAAAGTAAGAACCTTGGATGTCATTCCCGAGGATAAAATGTCATTCCTGGAGAGGTGGAACTTCAATCGTAAGTGGAGTTCGTTTTCCCAATATCTATTCATGTTCTGCTTTCATATTTCATAACGTCTTTATCCTTATTTTGGCAGCCAATTCCTGGGTGCCCCAAGTAGTTCCCGACCTCGAGGATTGAGTCCGAAAGTTAGCTGCCACCTCTTCCTATGATGAGCGCAAGTGGCATGAATTATCGAAGGGCCAGTGGTAGGCCAAGAACCACAGTGAGTGCTTTTCACAAGTTTTAAACACTCTTCGTATATTATTGGCGTCAACTTACTAACGTTTACTTGCACAGGCATTGGTGATGCATCCGAGATGAAGCCGGCTCTGCCCGGGGAAAAGAAAAAGCCTTCAATCCCGAAGGCTGAGAAGGACAATAAAAGAAAAAGGGTTTCGAAGCATGAAAACCCTCAAGACAAGAAAACCCCTGCTCGAAGGCTACGGAAAAGATTTGCTCAAACAGGCGAAGATTCGGCCCATGATTCCCCGGATGATGAAGAAAATGATGGTGAAGAGTCAGCTTTGGTGACTCGAACCAGGAAACCAGTCGAGGCCGACAAGCCTTCTGAACTGGAAACCTCATCCCGTGGTGAGGGAACCCAAAGGAAAGATGGGGGCAAAGCCCCCGTGTCCCCGGTGGTTGAGATTGTCCCTCCATCTTCAACAACTATACCGGAGGGGGTAAATGCTGAGAGCCCCGAAGCTAATGAGAACGCCTTGAGTAAAGAGCTCGGGATCGCGATAACAGGTCACTCCCATTCTTTGCCAACTTATTCTGTGGGAATCGAAAAAGCCAACGCTCTACGTATGCCCGATCTGAGCAAGGTCATGGAGGCCGGTTCCTTTCGGGGTTGCTACGCTGGGATTGAGGATGCCAATGACCTTAATGATGCATCCACCATCTTTGAAAAGGATCAGCATCTCCTCTCTAGGGTAAGTATTTACTTCCATTATTGTAATTTTCTCTTTCTTTTTCTGTTGACTAATATGTCTATATTTCACATATAGGCCATCGTAAAGTTTAGAGCTGAGCTAAGCCAATGTGAGACCGAGCTCAAGAAAGTTTCAGGAAAAGAGAAAGCCCTAAGGCTCCTCTGCAGCCAAAGGGAAGAGGAGCTTAACAATCTCCGGACCGTATTGGCCAAAGCTCAAAAAAGCGAGTCTGAGCTAGATGAGCAGGTAACTGTGATTTTAACAGAGTTCGGCCTTATTGGCCCTACTTCGAAGGCTATCACTTTGATATCTCAGCTACAGCAAAAGCTAGAGATGATTGGGCAGCTCCGGGGCAAATTTGATCAAGTTAGAGCTGATT